GGTTGATTTCGCACGGAATTATGGCTTCTACTGGAGCAAATATTATTGTTTTACAATCTCATAGCTGGTCAGGCTACCTTCGATGGTTACCACATTATGGCTAATAATCACTAGTTGCCAGAATATCACTGGGATTTCACTGCTGGAACCTCACTGCCTAGGTCTATAGCAATTGTAATGTTTTGGTAAGTTAATTTATGATTACATTGAGGAAAGCTCACACAGGCACTTTTTGTGGCTCAAGTATAGAGGTAGTAAACAGGTAATGCAATTATGATATTTTTAGAGAGCACTTAACGTGAAACAGTGCTTCTCTTATCAATTTGCTAATAAGAAAATCATCAATCATACAATTTGGTCCGTATTTCCCTCTCAAGTTTGGTCTAAAATTTTGTTTAAAGTGGTATTAAAAAGGTCTTAAAAAGTATTAAATTTAACCTGTTCATACCTGTAGTCACCCTGAAAGAAAATTGATATTGCAGGTTTCTCTGGTGGATTCATGAACCCCCTGGGGTGGTTTATTAATGCTGAAAATTATTTTGAATTCGGTGGTTTGGGCCAGAAAACGCCCTTAATGGGACTCCACCTGTATCAGTTTGAACATTAAATATCTTATCTTTGTAGTGTATTCAATTGAATATAGGTCGAAAAGGATTTGCAAATCATTGTATTCTGTTTTTATTCATGTTTTACACAACATCCCAACTTCATTGGAATTTGCTTGCTAAATTTGGCACAATATACTCACTGTCAGTGAAAATTGTGGACACTTGAAACTAATAATTGAAAGGTCCACTGGAAAAACGATCAAGGTCAATTTTTAGAGATTTTGAGTTAGGCCTGCCATCTATATTCAGACTCCTTGTGGTTTCACTTAAGATTATCAGAACTCTGATAAAATGATCAGAGTCCAAAATATGCAGTGTTGAAATATCTGTGTACAACAACAAAACGATCAATGTCATTGCAAAACACTAGAAGAATGATCAGGGTCAAGTCACGTGACCTCGGGTAACTAATCAGCTGTGTTTTTCTGCAAGATAATAGTCACTTTTTGTTAATCTATTGCTTTTACCTTTTGGGATATTGATGATTTACAGTGAAAGAACGATCAAAGTCAAGGGACTAGTAACTTCAGAGCTCTACCAAATATGCAATATCTTCACCAGATATATATATTTCAGAAGTATACATCGTGGAGATTACCAGACTTTATCAAGGTACAAACAATATACATCTCTAGCAACTAGTTTTCCAGTGTTGAGGTTTTGAAACTTTAAATGGCGATAACTCAAAAGTGCAGAAAAGTGACTTTGATCGTTTTTCCAGTGGACCCTTCAATTGTTTTAATTAAATCAATCAAATGCAGGTAAGGTACCTTGCATTGCAGGATTTACCACAAGCTAACACGAAAAATAGCGGGGTTGTTTATCTTTCTTCCCGAAGCATACTTGGTTAATAAAATGGCTATTCTTCTGAATTGCATTTATTTCCACTCAGAGAGAAGCCTCCTGTTTACTTGCCAATGGGTTATTCTAATCAATGGCAAAGTTTGACTAACAATTGGGTTAAAACTCAATTTTCACTTCATCAGCCAGCAAAAAAAGCTATAATCACTGAATACACTTTGAAAGCAAGTGGTATGTTGTCGGTTGTTTTAAATGTAGGAGAGGATGAATGGGTTTTTCAAATCATTCCTTTTTGATGTAATAGCATATGCCATGGTCTGCTAACTTCTTTGGAACTGGGGTTGTATTGATGACTTTTCTCATGAAATTGCTTTTGATTGGCTCGCATTATGAGGAAGTGTACCTTTCTCTAGCATTCAGTGATCATAAGCACATCTCTGCTGTCTTCTCTGTGGAGAATTGCATTGTCCTTGGTAAGATTTTTTGATGGATAATGCTGCTACCAGGTGGTAAAACTATAAACGATGTGTCATTCAGAGGAAGTGTGACCAGTACTGGCCAATGGAAAACCAAGAGGAGTATGGCTGCTTCCTGGTTACGCTGAAGAGAACACGGGTGCTGGCCCACTACACGCTCAGAACCTTTTGCCTGAGGAACACGCAGATAAGGAAGGTTAGGCACGCTGAACTCGCCATGCTGTCGACCAAACACACTGTATACAGTACAATACAGACCAAACACACTGTACACACCACTCTTTATACCGAACAAGCTGCACACTCTACAGACCAAATAATACTGTGTTCACTCAACACTGCGGAGCAAATACACTGTTACGGCTGGCTCGTCACCGCAACATTAAAAAAGGACCACAGGCAACGAAGTAATGGTTTAATAAAGAAATATTTATTGAGGATAATTCAACACAAAAAGTATACTGTATCTAGGGGAATGAATGGATGCGTGCTGTTCATGTATGAATGGCAGGGACTGAATGCAAGCGTGTATAAGTGAGAGAGGGGCAAGCCGAGCAGCATGCAAGCTGCCAGACTGAGATCTGGCCGTTCCTTTCTACCCACACCGGCGCCAGGTGTGAATAATTAACAACCAGCGATCCCAATGCTACCTACAGCCTAGGCGTGGCCACTAGCAAAACTGTGGGGGCGCAGGGGGTTGTAACAACACTGTACAGTCTGCACTGCAGGCGAAATATACAGCTCATTCTTCACCAGAGAACAAACCCACTGTTCACTCCTCACTACACACTAATCACTTTGCACCAGTGGCAGCTGGTGAATTGGCAACAGGGGAAGCACAAGCCATCCCTTAAAAATAATGATTGGTCATGACCTGTTTTCAGTCTTAATAAAATTGACTTTACTTGACTCCAAAAATCCCAAGGACCATCAGGTTTCGCCAGTTCTCCTTGTTAAGATGAACACGAATAGCCTAATTTGATCTGTTTTCAATCATTCATTTAAATTACCATTGCAGAAACTCCAAAAACTCTCAACATTATCAAGTGTGGCCAGTTTTGATTAATAACGCATACCTGGCAACTCGACTCCTGTCAAACCTCCATGCACAAGAACTTCAATTCTGCGTGAGAATCTCTTACATACGCGTTGATTGAATAATTGCTGACTACAGCAAGGGCACATAAATATGCCACTAAAACTCACACTGAATGCGTGAGAGTTGACAGGTATGCATTATTAATGAAAAACGGCCGCACCTGATAATGTTGAGAGGTTTCGGAGTTTCTGTAATGGTAATTTAAATGAATGATTGAGAATCATTTGTGCTATTCATGCTCATTTTAACTTAACAAGGAGAATGGCGACACCTGGTGGTTCGTAGAATTTTTGGAGTCAGGTAAAGTCAATTTTATTAAGATTAAAAACAGATCATGACCAATCATTATTTTTAAGGGACGGTTTGTGGCTTCCCTATTGCCAATTCACCAGCCGCCACTGCTTTGCACACTCCCCAGTACCGGTCAAACACACTGTTACACTCTTCACTACAGACCAAATACACTGAACATTCCTCACTACAGATGAATCACGCTGTGTACTCCCCACTGCAGACCAAATGCACTGTGAGCTCCTGACTACAGACCAAACTCAATGTACACTCTCCACCACTGACCAAACACACTCAATACAGGTGCTCTTAACTGGAAACTAAAAAAGCTATACACTCCTCATTTATTTATTTATTCATTCTTTACTGTGTAATGTGACTGAACTGTAGTATTGGCAAAGAATGCTCTCACCGCATTGTGAGAGACCCCTGTGTTAAACACACTTACAGAGACTGCATCCCATTCCCAAAATGGTGTAAAGGCCTCATGGCGATGGTGATGTCAGCATCATGTCCAACTCAAACGCAGGATGAACTTGTCGCCTCACTGATCCAATTTACTTTTTAACCTGACTTCACTTATACACCTTGTGTATTGTCTTTTTGTGTGACTAACTCTGTTTTTTATATGAACAGTAAAGTTTTTGATTTTGAATCCTCTTGCAGGGCTCCCTTAAGGGGCGGAGCCAGGAGCTGACGGTGCGGCAGTATCACTACACGCAGTGGCCCGATATGGGAGTGCCCGAACATGCCCTGCCCCTACTCACCTTTGTGCGCAAGTCATCTCGGGCCCGCACGGCGGACATGGGGCCTGTGGTCGTCCACTGCAGGTACCTTCACAGTTTCCATGGCAACCACCAGCTTCATCTCATTTATTTTGCTAATAGCTGAGATAAATTGTATGGCCCTTATTTTGCTTTCAATCATGAAGTTTTGTGGCTTTTTTCCATTGAGGTTCAAATAAATAAATGTGTTCTTTGAGGACGCATCTGCCTGCCCTAAAAATGAGTAGCGCACATCAGCTGGAGAGGTTCTGGGGGGCACTGATAATGTGTGAGTCAGGATTTAATGGCAGACGTAGGCACTAAAGCATCCGTCTCCTGTGTGTGCTTGTAGTGATGAAGTGAGCAGGATTGGCATGAGTTTGGAAAGTGATCAGGATGACAGCGATGATGATGATGAAGATGGTGGTGATGATAGTGGGTTAAAGCGCTGGCTGTAGCAGTAGTGTGTGACTCCCCTGTGTGTTTGCAGTGCTGGCGTGGGAAGGTCGGGCACTTACATTGTACTGGACAGCATGCTTCAGCAAATCAAGGAACAGGGGACGGTGAACGTCCTCGGCTTCTTAAAGCACATCCGCACGCTGAGGAACTACCTGGTGCAGACTGAGGTATGACCACATCCCCCATACACAGAGAACGCATGTTGTAACTCGTAGTTCCCGACCCCCGACCCCCACCCCCATGCATGGACATTACAATGAAAAGATTTCAGTGGATATTTCCAGAACTCTGGCATTATGGATATAATCAAACACTGAGGGAAAATTTAGCTTACTTGGCAACTTTAGCATCCAGGATTCCTATGATCTTACTAGGATACGCTAAAATACGAGGGCAGTGTCTATGGCTGGTGATACATATTTTGAGGTTGCACAGCAGCCGTGAGAAAACTGTTTCTGTGGAGCTGGTAGATTCCAAGGTTAAAAAGTGGTGATTTTTGAGCTGCTGGATAGCTCACTTGGTTAAGGCACTGTGTTGCAGTGCAGAGGTGACTATCACGTCGCGGGTTCGATCCCCGCCTTGTACCAGCCGGCAGCGGTCGGCAGCTTTTTCAGAGTAGCGCACAATTGGCCATCGCGCCACAGGGTTGCAAATTGGGAAGGGACTGCGGGATGGGATTACAATAGTCGCTTTGTTCGTTGCTCAAGCGCCTCCTGTTGGCCAGACGGGCGCTCGTCAGGAAGATTCCAAGCCTGTTCATGTTCGGGTATCCTCCGCCCTCGTTCTGTACTTGCGAGCATTCAACCAATGAGTGTATAAGAAACAGTAGTTGACGGGCACATGCTTCGGAGAGCCGTGAACTGTCCCTCTCTCCTGAATTGGCAACAAGGGGTGGCATACGAGCCAGCCGTGTACATAGTTCACCAATTGGGCATTCCAGATTCAGATGGGATTGGAGATGCCAAATTTTTTTTTAAAAAGTGGTGATTTTTAGTGTTTAGTGTTTAATTTTGGTATTATATTCAGCATTGATGGTAAACCTACAGGAGCAGTATGTCTTTATTCAGCATTGATGGTAAACCTACAGGAGCAGTATGTCTTTATTCAGCATTGATGGTAAACCTACAGGAGCAGTATGTCTTTATTCAGCATTGATGGTAAACCTACAGGAGCAGTATGTCTTTATTCAGCATTGATGGTAAACCTACAGAAGCAGTATGTCTTTATTCAGCATTGATGGTAAACCTATGTCTTTATTTTGATAAACCTACAGGAGCAGTATGTCTTTATTCAGCATTGATGGTAAACCTACAGGAGCAGTATGTCTTTATCCACGATGCTCTCGGAGGCCATTCTGACACGGGAGACCGAGGTGCCCTCCTCACGCATCCATGCTTACGTGAGTGACTTACTGACCCCGGGACTGTCCGGCCAAACCCGCCTGGAGAGGCAGTTCAAGGTAAGAGGATGAATATAAATATTCGATATCCTCTACACAAATGGAAAAAAACAGGCGGAACAAAAAATAAGCCTCCCGTAAATTCTGACTCCTTAACTGTCATGAACAGCAGTTTGAAAGCGATACATTAATGTTAAGTCTTATAAGGTCTCGTACTATTACAAAGTGTCCCACTGAAGGGCTAATTCAAAAGGAATTCACTTGGGCGACTATAAAATCCTTGTGTGCGTCAGGTTTCAATGTCCTGGTCTAAATGACATACCTTATCCAGTAAAGTTATGTATGAACTGGGAACTAAAGGCTCACGCAATGGCGAAAATTGGTGCCAAGAATGCTGCTAGCATATGCAACAAAATGGTAGTTTTCTGGTGAGAAACGACAAGCAATAAGTTCTCCCAACACTTAAATCGCAACACTTTCCTTATGTAAATAAAATAACTGATAGGATTATTTGGCTTTTGTTTCATGAAAAACACATGCAAAATTTTGAAATGTCGTGGCGAATACTGGCGCAACTACTCTATGCTTAAGTATGTACTGCAGTATGTACCACCAGTGGGCCAGAAACGTATATCAATCAGGAAACATCTGTTTTTGTTCACCCGGCCCTTGTTGATATTTAATACTCAATATCTTTTGTCATAATTAAAGATACTGTATACAGGCAGGTGGTCTGGTCAGTTTTTTGGAGCAGTGGAGAGTTCTGGAACATCTCTGCGCGATTGTTACATCAGCTGGAACAATGTTTGTTCAGTAAAGAACACTCTGTACTCATATTGTGACCTCACAGTTTAGAGAGCTGAAAGACAGTACTTGAATGTGTTTGAATTGTGGGATATACAGTCCTCCATCTCTGGGTCTCACTGTTGTGCTCTATGTCCCGACAGCTGATTGGCCAGAGCAGCCCGAAGCAGTGTGACTTCACCAGTGCACTCAGCCCTTGCAACAGGGAGAAAAATCGCTGCTCATCACTCTTACCCGGTGTGTGTGTGTGTGTGTGTGTGTGTGTGTGTGTGTGTGTGTGTGGTATTTTTGCATGCGCATGTGTGCTGATGCTACTGTGTATTCATATCAGATAATTGTGCTCCTGTACTCCTGTGTTGAAGCTAGTATGCTGCCCTGGCCTAGATGCTAAGGCACTTGCAGGGATTCAATGAGGCTGGCAGTTCACTAGGGCCCTGGGTAAGCCTGTTGAGGCCCTTGAGCGAAGGTCAATAACCCTGCGGTGCTCCAGGAGGATTGGTCCCTGTTAAGTAAAGTCAATCTTAAATTGGGCAGGGAAGTTTCCTGAAGTAACTGTATACTGTTTGGATATTCAGTTGTTCTGCAATGAAGCGGCCATCTGGCTGAGCTCGCAGTGTGTCAGGTTACTGTGTGGCTTTTTAAGTCAGGATATAAAGGGTCTCTGTGGTCTGCGGAAAGGCGGAGTCACTTGGTCACCATGACAAATGTGGTTTGTGTTTTCAGTGGAGAAATCGAGAGTGTGCCTGTCCACGATAACTGGAGAGACGTCAGACTACATCAACGCCTCATACATCTCAGTAAGAGAATGCTATGGGGGGCACGGGGGGTCGGTTAAATCAGGGATATCGCCAGTGACCTTTGTGAGCTAATTACATTGATTAGTTGTTCCTCCTAGCTGAGGAGTTGTGTTAATTAGGGAATCCAGGCTTGGGAACACTTTTACAACCCGAATATATGTTCCTCTTCTGCAAACCAGATTGATGATGTTGCTGCCTGAAGAATTTATGGGTGCATTGATTAGCACCCAGAGAACAGCGAGGTGCATTTTGTTGACTGTTAATTGCGTTCTCTGGGTGTTGTTTAAGGGTTACCACAGAAGCCATGAGTTCATCCTGACACAAACTCCACTTCCCAGCACCACTCTGGACTTCTGGAGGATGGTGTGGGACCACAACTCCCAGGTCATTGTTACGTTGCCTGACACACAGGGTTCGGTAGGTACACAAGACCTGATTGGCTGCAGTAGAGCAACACAGGATCTGATTAGTAGCAGTACAGTAAGACAGGGCCTGATTGGCTTGGTACAGTAATACAAAATCTGATCGCACAGTTGAACTTGCCAGGTCCTACACATTTCAGGTGAATCTTTCTCCTCATAATTGCAAAAAAAAATCTTTTTTATATGGGTCACATTACAACTTGAAGAGCAGTTACATTACAAACTGTGTTTTTAGTTCATATTGTGACTAGAAAATGAAGATTTTCAAACTTTTCTAAAAGGAGAGATTCTAAAGGGATTTCCTTTGGATTTTTTGCTGGACGTTTTCGCCACCCATTTTTTTTCTCATGAATGCCTGTATTTTGCACCATTTAGAGGCTGCATTGTTGGTGCATGTTCTGTACAATCAATATTTTTGTTTCCTTCAAAGGTTTTAACTGGCCAGTAAGTCGTCAGATAACATCAAAAAACTTAAAAAGCTTAAAGGTACCGCCCCAGGCGGCTGGACTTAGGATTTTTTTTTCAAATTGCACCACTGATAAGCACCCACCCCCTCCGTCCAATCAGGAATCACCCAAACCACCCCCCACCACTCAGTTCGTGCGTGTGCTTCATTCCACCACAAACAGCTGACCGGTGCGGCCGGAGACAACATTACAACACAGACAGCATTAGCAGCGGTTGATATCGATGGCATCACAGCAAACCACCAATAACCAGGGAATAACTGTATCTTTCAACACTGGATTCAGAGCATAACGTTACATCATTAAAGCCACCAACAACAACACCTGTATCTTTCAGTCTCTGGGCATACAACAAGGGCAAACACTAGCTACCCAATTACTAGGCTAGTGCCAGTCTCCAGGCTAACAACAAACAAAACTAGGCTAGACCTTGGCTCCTCAAAAGTAGCCTAGACCTTACTACTCAATGTATATGGACTACACTTTCTGTCTATGTACAGCATTCACAGAAAGAGAGACAAGAAGCTAGCTTACCAGTCTAAGAGAAACTCCGCCACTGAAGTCGTCGGTTTTAAAACCTTTCAGTGTCTTCAGTTCTCTCCAGCGGTCGAATGCTTCTCTACCAAGGGATACTCGAGTTGCATTTGCAATTTTACATATTCTTGTCTATCACGCATACTTTCAATGAAGGTTTTTGTCTTTTTAGCTGGTGGTTGTCCGCTGGGTGCAGTTGGAGGTCGGAAAACTGGCTGCTCGTTCGGCTGCGCCCTGACTCCGTCCGAATGCCTAGCTTTCTAGCTGTTGCTGGCTATGTAGCTACAGCCAAAGTGCCTGCACATTGGAATGCACGCGCAGAACAGCGTATACGTTGATTTGGCAGTTTGACTGACAGATGGGCCATCCAATTAGAGTTGTCTGAGACAAATTTGATTGGTAGCCTAATTTTGGCCCCTGCTCCTCACACAGATGACCAAATTTCATCATTGATATGTCAAATCACTTATGTTATCGATTACTGTCTAATACCTACCAGATATACTCAGATTTTTATAATTTTGCCAAAAAATGAGCCGCCTGAGATGGTACCTTTAATGATTGGTTGGTTAAATTTTAAATAAGACATTATTTTTTCTCTATTTTGCTAGACAGAAGAAGAGGAAGACATGGTCAATGTATATTGGCCCCTTAAGGATCAGACAATCAGGTGTGAGATGTTCACCGTTACCCTGACTGGGGAGAATGGGGTGTGTCTGACCAATGAGAATATGCTGCTGGTGCAGGACTTCCTGCTGGAAGCTACTCAGGTACCACTACCCAGGTCTTCTATTGTGTTCTCATTTTTCCATAAAAAAAGAGCCACCAAAGAGATTTCGTATCATTTATTTTGCACAATGTAACTTTGCTTGGGGCAGTTGTGTCGTTTCTCCTGGCTGTGAGCTCTAGTCCACCCGTACAATCCCCATTTTCGTGCATTTGCATTTCATTACATGCGTATAAGAGCGGCACGGTCTTCCTCTCAGCTTAGCTCCAATAGGAATTCTCATTACTACAGAGCAGTACTGCGGCCCAGTGTTTAGCACTGTTGCTTTGCAGCAAGGAGGCTCAGGGTTTGAGGCCCGGCCGGCCAAGTTCTCCTTGTGTGGAGTTTGCATTTTCTCCAGGGGTTTGTGTGGATTTCCACCTGTTACTCAGCTTT